CCCCAAAACCCCAAAACCCCAAAACCCCAAAACCCCAAAACCCCTTTCATGATGGTTTATGTTGAAATTAGACCATTCAGTGAGTCTATTTACAGCTTGTTGAATATCCCATCTCTCTGTTCATCCCATTTGTTAAGAACATCTTTGTTCCTATTGAATTGGCCTGTTTTAATACTTATTGGAATCTTTATGCCACCCCAAGTCTTGAATTTCCTATGTCTCTGCTCATTTTTAAGACTTGAAGAGGTTTGAAAAATTCCATGTAAGGTATCCTGCACTGCTGTTACTTTAGGCCGATCATATGAGGTTTTCATGATGTCTGAAATGTTAACAGACCTCTCTTTCAACATGTTCAGCTCTTTTTGTAAAGAGCTGTCAGCTAATTTCTTTAAAATACTGTTATTTACGAGATAGCTTTGATTTGACTTTTGTCCCTTTGCTAGAAGATAGACTGATGATAGATTTATTCATCGTCCTGTTTAGTATAAACCTCTTAAAAGATGGACTAAGCTCTTGAAAGCTTTGGAGGCCTTTCATTTTCGTCTCGAAAGGACTCCTAGGGATTCTTTCCTCAACCTCTGCCTTAGGAATTGGTGGAAATTTGTGATTGTAGCTGACCTGTTCATACTGGAAATCAGCCTTTTTATTCAGAGATTTCTCCTTCTGGACTTTAGCAGGTGTCATTTCAAAGTGATTTTGGTAGGTTGATGCTGATCTTTTACCAATTTTATATCTTGGGATGGTCCTTCCAGTTTTCTCATTCTTATAAGTATTAAAATTATTCCCAATGCTCTGGCTCCTGTTTGTGAATTTTCCAGCAATTCTCTCCATAGATGAACTATTTTTAAGACTTTCATTATAGAAGCTACCAGGGCGGAGTCTGGTAAAACTTCCATCGGAGTTGGACCCATTCTCATCCATACCTTGATCATCTAGAAATTAGCGAGCTAAGTCAAAGCAATTCCTACCTTTATGCACAGAATACAGCTCAATTATCCTTCTGAGTTGAGGCATTCTCTATTAAAATTTACAGGTTGCAATTACAGAAAGATTTTTCTCTGAATTCTCTATCATATGCCCCTGAAAACTACTACTCGCCTCTGTCACAAACCTTGCTATAATCCTCAAATTAACCCCAGTAACAAAATTTCTTCACTCAAATTTCTGTAAATAATTCTATCATCTATCCAAAGCTACCTTAATCAATACTCCAATCCCAATTAATCTTGACTAATTCCTAATCTCCCTAAGCTCCAGCTGTAGTCCTAATTTCTACACCAAAATAACCCTACATTGACAACCTTTGGCGTGCTTAGGACTATTATTATATGTCCGAAAAGTCCTGGAGGTTCCTATCTGCATTGTTATATTTATTATGATCAATTAAATTGGCCTGTTTTGGGGTTTTGGGGTTTTGGGGTTTTGGGGTTTTGGGGTTTTGGGG